TTTTTTATAAAATTGTTTTAATATTATGTAGTTTGATTATAAAGTTATTTAGTTTTATATATTTTTTTATTAAATTATGTTTTTTATAATATTATGGCTTTCAGACTGCAATTTTAAAATCTTGTTAAAAATTATTTGTACTTTTGGTTCATAAATTGGGCTATTGTAGATTTGTTAGGTTTTATTTTTTATTTTATTCATATTGTTTAATATGTTTTATGGTTTTGTTGTTGTGGTTTTTTTAAATTTTTAAAATTTAAACATTTTAAAAATAACTTGTTAATATTTCTTGCTTTTGTTTGTTTTGTTTGGTAATTTGTTATGTGTTTTTGGTCAATTAAATTTAAATAATTTTAAAGAATATATTCTTTTTTTATAAAAAGAAAATTTTCTTTTTTAAAATTATTTAAATTTTTTTAAGGTATATTGTTTGTTTTGTTTTAATTATTTCATTTTGTGAAGTTTTGTTTGGTGGAAAATAAAAATAAATTTAAATTTTATTATTTTGTAGTTAAACTAAATGGCCAAAAGTTAGCAAAAATTTTGAATTTTGTTCAAAATTGCGGTCCGTTATCAAAGAGTTATCAAAGTTTTTTATTATTTTCTTTTTTTTTTTAATTGGATTTGGTTTTTTAGGCAAGTTTCAAGTTCCAAGCCTTTGATTATTAAAAATTTATTATTTTTTTGTTAAATTATTGTAATTTGAAAAAGAGTTTTGTAAAAACCCCTTTCTTGAGAGTAATGCCAGGAGTTTTAAGAGTTTAAGCCTGTTTTCTTTCATTATTTATCGTTTAGTCCAGTTGGTTAAAGAAAAACTTTAATTTCTTAAAGCTTTTCTTAATTTTCTTTTAAAGGTCCTGTTGTTGTTAAGTAATTTTAAGTTAAAAATATTTTTGGAGCTTTTTTTAGGTTAAATTTTTTTATATACATACATTTCAACTGAAAAAGAACATTTTAAATGAAAAATTTGTAGAAAAAATAAAAAAAAAAACTTAAAAAATTTATGTTTTTTTTTTAAGAAATGGAGTAAAAAAATTTTGATAATTTTGCTTTTTAATTTAGTTTTCTTTAAGAATATTTGTTTTTTTAACTTTTTACAAAAAATTTTGATTAATTTTGTTGTTGTTGTTTTAAGGGCCTAAAATTTGTAGTTTTAATATTATAATTCACAAAAGTTTTATATACAGGGATGGGTTTTTTTCTTTATATAAAGTTAAAGTGTATCACAGTGACATTCAGTCTAATTTTCTTCATAATGCTTTCATTAGAATTATAAAGCATGAGTTTAATTTTCTTTAAATGTTTAAAATTAAGCCAATGTTATTTTTTTATTAAATTTTACTTTTCCTAAAATTGTTTTTGTTTTTTTTTAATCATGCTTTTTTTCTTTAAATTCTAATAAAAGCTTTTTTTATTAAAATTTTGTATTGTGTATTTTATATTTGTCCAAAAATCTTTTGCCGAAACTTGAATTTTGTTTAAATTTATTAATTGTTGTTTTTTTAGTATTAAATTTATGATATGGGCCTAAATAATAATGTTTTTTTTTTTAATAAAATTTTGTCTAATTAAAACAACAGTTTAAAAATACCAAACAAATAATTTTGTTAATAATTTAGTTAGAGTTTTTTAGGTTTAATTTACTTAAATTTCTTTTCCAACTATAAAACTTTTGTATTTACATTAATTTTTTTTATCAACTTTGTTTTTTTTTTTTTTGTAATTTATTTAAATATTTTTAAAAAAAGTTTTCTGTGGGGAAAAGAATGGCCTTAAAAGAGGGGCAAGACGGAAGAGTTATAAAAAGATTTATAAACTTAAAAAGAGATGAAATACAACTGAACGAGAACTGAACTAGAACTAATTCACAAAAGTTCTAGAATTGATCCAGAGCTTAATTCAAACAGTTCCAGTAAAGAACTAGAATTTATCAAGAACTGATTCAGATCTTAATTAGAATTGATTTTTCATTTTTCACATTTTTTTATAATATTTTTCTCTGTCATCTTTTTGAATCTCCCCTTTCAGCCCTCCTTTTCCCTACATTTGTTATTTCTATGCCGAAAAGTTTAGGTTTTCTTTGTTGCTTTGCCAAATGATTGTAACCAAAAAGTGTTTTGTTAATACCCCATTTTCTGTAAGTGTATTTTATATAAAAATTAAAAAAAATTAAAAAAAAAACTTTTTTTAAAATTGTTTTATTCATATAAATATTTTGTGTTTTTTGTGAAAGAACATAAAACTAAAAGTTAAATAATAAAACTTAAAAACTATAAATATTCATAAAAAAATCAAAGTTAAACAAAAAGTAAAAAAACAAGTGAAATTTCTGTTACATTTTAAAAATAAAACTTAAAATTACCAAAAATGTAATTGAAAAAAACAAATAGTGCAATTTTTTTAAAGAAATTAATAACTCCCCGACTGTAAACAACACAATATCATAAACAGCTATTGTGAATGCTTAGCAAAAACACAGAGTTGTTTACACTAATTTCTTTTTCAATAAATGCCTTTTTTTTTAAACTAAACTTCAAAAAAAAATTAATTTCTTTTTTTATAGTTTTTAAATCCACACTAAGAGAAATGTTTAAAGGTTATGTTTAGAAAAAAATTAAGAAAATTCTAATGACTTTTTTTTATTAATATTTACTATAGGAATACTTTTTTATATAAATTTTTTAATATATTTTTTTTGTTATTATGGCACTCTGGAGTTGTAGAACGAGTTTTTTTTAACAAAAAGTGTGGATTTTTTTTCAATATTTCAACAAACTAAACACGTTTAAATGTAATCATTTTTTTAAAAATAAAAGGAAGACAAGACGTGTTTTAAGTTTTTAAAATTTACAAAATAATCACAATTTTTATAAAAGAAATCATAAAAAAAATGGTTGTTGTTTAATAAATTAGCATACAAAAAAATAGTTAAACTTACTAACTAATAAAAAATAATAGTTTTTAGTAACAAAATAATCATTTGTCTTAACTAAATAACGAAATAAAATAAAAAAAAAATCTTACAAAATTAAATTTCTATAATAAAATTGTTTTTTTAAAAAAGTATACTAAAGCTGCTCTTTCAAGTTTTAAGAAGATTTCTTGCACATTTCTTAGGGAAATTATTATCTTCACAGTGTATTTAATAGAAAGAAAATCAATTTTCTTTAAGATTTTTCTATTAAGAACAAAACTGTATTTAATTCAGAATCGAATTGGAACTGAACTAGAATTGCTCAGGATATTATCTAGAACTTAACTGGAACCATAACTCAGCTAAAACAGATTCAGAATTAATCCAGAATTGAACTAGAACTAAACTAGAAACGTTCACGAACTAGAACATAACTGAAACCCATCTAGAATTAAACAAGAACTAAACTGAACATTCCAGAATTGAACTAGAACACAACCAGAACTGAACTAAACTTTTCCAGAACTTTACTATGTCTAATCCAGAACTGAGATAGAACTAATTCAAAACTAAACTAAAATTTATTTAGAATTGAACTAGAACAGACCAGAAATTGATCTAGAACTTTTGCAGAACTGAACTAGAACTGAACTTTACTAGATCCGGACTAGAACTAGTTGAATTAGAATTGATCCAGAACTGAACCGGATCCGAACTGAACTAAAACTGAACCAGAATTGAAGTAGAACTGAACTAGAACTGAACTAGAGCTAAACTAGAATTGAACGAGAACTAAACTAGAACTGAACTAAAACTGAACTAGAATTGAACAAAAACTCAACTAGAACTGAACTTTTCTAGATCCTGACTAGAACTAGTTGAATTAGAACTGATCCAGATCTGAATTGGATCCGAACTGAGCTAGAACTGAACAAGAACTGAACTAGAACTGAAACTAGAACTGAACTAGAACTGAACTAGAACTGAACTAGAACTGAACTAGAACTGAACTAGAACTCAACTCGAACTGAACTAGAACTGAACTGGAACTGAACTAGAACTGAACTAGAACTGAACTAGAACTGAACTAGAACTGAACTAGAACTGAACTAGAACTGAACTAGAACTGAACTAGAACTGAACTAGAACTGAACTAGAACTGAACTAGAACTGAACTAGAACTGAACTAGAACTGAACTAGAACTGAACTAGAACTGAACTAGAACTAGAACTGAACTAGAACTGAACTAGAACTGAACTAGAACTGAACTAGAACTGAACTAGAACTGAACTAGAACTGTACTAGAACTGAACTAGCACTAAACTAGAACTGAACTCGAAGTGAACTAGAACAGAACTAGAACTGAACTAGATCTGAACTAGATCTGAACTAGAACTGAACTAGAAGTGAACTAGAACTGAACTAGAACTGAACTAGAACTAGAACTGAACTAGAACTGAACTAGAACTGAACTAGAACTCAACTCGAACTGAACTAGAACTGAACTGGAACTGAACTAGAACTGAACTAGAACCGAACTAGAACTGAACTAGAACTGAACTAGAACTGAACTAGAACTGAACTAGAACTGAACTAGAACTGAACTAGAACTGTACTAAAACTGAACTAGCACTAAACTAGAACTGAACTCGAACTGAACTAGAACTGAACTCGAAGTGAACTAGATCTGAACTGGAACTGAACTAAAACTGATTTAGATTTATATTAGAACTGATCCTAAACTGAGCTAGAATAGTTATAGAACTGTACTACAACTGTTTTAGAACTAAATAAATGTTTAATTTTTTATTGAATTAATTTACTTTTATACTGCACTGCCAGGTCTGTGACATGCTATTGTGAATCATTTACAACAGAGTTGTTTTACTTTTAGTACAAATACACTGTGAAAATAAATCATTCCTGTTTTGATTTTAACAATTGTTTTTGTTTTGTAAATAAAGTCTTTAAAAGAAATAAAAAGAAAAAATAATTTTCCTTTGTAATATTTAATTTATAGAATTATGGGAAGTTAAAGTCGTACTTTTGTCATTAATGTTTGTTTGTTTGTTTTTTTTTTGCGGTTTAGAGTCCTTTTCGAAAAGACTAGTATAACTTTTTCTTAATTAAAAATTTTAAGAAAAAGAAACAAAAATAATTAAAAACTTTTTTTATATTAAAGTAATAGTAAAATTTAAATTTAAAATTGTTATTTAAAAAAACGTTTAAAACGAGGATTATGGTTTCAAAATGAAAAATTTGTATATGTAATTGCTTTGTTTTTAAGGTGTTTTTTTCAGTATTTTTTTAGCTCAATTTGTTATTCGCTTAGCAAATGCCTAAAAAAAGGACTCTTTTTAGAGTTTTCTTCGTTTTTGTTTTAAAGAAAATTAAAATTGTTTTAAAAATATGTTTTAAAATTTTTAAGAAAAATCATTGTATACTTAAGTTTGTTGATATTATCATAGAGATCCGAATATTGAGTGTATATGTGGATGTATAGGAATTGCATGGGAGAGAGTAGGTGGTGGCCCAGTGGGTGGTGGATGCGCTGGCGGCGGTTGATTGTGAGCGTGCGTTGTATGACCCTGATGATGATGCGAAGAAGTGGCCGTAGCTGCTGCTGCTACGGCAGCCGCCGTCGGTGGCATACCACCCACAGGTGGTAGTGTTATGGAGAGTGTTACGGTTTGGGGTGCTTGGCCAGCAGAGCTGCTAGCATTGTGAGCTCCCTGCTGCTGCTGTTGCTGATGATGACTATGTGCAGCTGCTGCTCCTGCAGCAGTTGTGCTACTAGCAGCACTTGCACTACCTCCGGCCGATGTTACAGTTGCTGTGGTTCCCGCATTTGGGGGATGTCACTGAGCCACTACTGAAGTGGCAGCATTTTGCTGCACCACCACCCCGGGAGCTACGGAATTTGCCACACTTACCGATACTGATGGTTGTCCGGGACCAGCATGAGCTGCCTGTGGCTGTCCCTGAAAGGGATGCTGGAATGGTGGTCCATAACATTGCGGAAAGTACAATTCATTTTTCACTTGTGATCCGGTATTACCACCTCCACCTCCCATTGAACGCGGTAATATATTGTTTTTGTTTTCACCCGGTTGCGCCACGGGATTGTTGTTGTTTAGAAACTGTTGAGCGGCTGCATTTTTCGTTTCATTCATTAAATGATTGGCCGCGGCAGCAGCTGCTGCTGTTGCCACTGCAGCCGCTGAGTGGGTTGTATTGCTATTGGTATTGTTGGCCCGTCGTGTCTTCGTGGCACTCGGATTCATGTGGTTGTCAATGTGTTTGGTTACCTCGTTTTCGGTAGCGAAACGTCTTCGGCAATTTGGCATGGGACAGCAGAAGGGACGATCGCCCTGGAAACGGAAAATAAATAAATGAAATAGGTTGTTAGAATTTAAATTATAGAATACTAATAAATTCTTTTTACTTCTCTGAATAAAATCTGAAGCTTTTAAAACTGAACTGAAGTAGAACTGAAATAAAACTGGACTACAACTGAACTAGAACTGAACTAGAACTGAACTAGAACTGTACTAGAACTGAACTAGAACTGAACTAGAACTGAACTAGGTCTGAACTAGATCTAAACTAGAACTGAACTAGAACTGAACTAGAACTGATCTGGAACTAAACTAGAGCTGTACTAGAACTAAACTAGAAGTGAACTAGAACTGAACTAGAACTGAACAAGAACTGACTAGAACTGAACTAGAACTGAAATAGAACTGAATTAGAACTGAACTAGAACTGAACTAGAACTGAACTAGAACTGAACTAGAACTGAACTAGAACTGAACTAGAACTGAACTAGAACTGAACTAGAACTGAAATAGAACTGAACTAGAATTGATCTAGAACTAGAATTGATCTAGAACTAGAACTGAACTAGAACTGAACTAGAACTGAACTAGAACTGAACTAGAACTGAACTAGAACTGAACTAGAACTAAACTAGAACTGAACTAGAACTAAACTAGAACTGAACTAGAACTGAACTAGAACTGAACTAGAACTGAACTAGAACTGAACTAGAACTGAACTAGAACTGAACTAGAACTGAACTAGAACTGAACTAGAACTGAACTAGAACTGAACTAGAACTAAACTAGAACTGAACTAGAACTGAACTAGAACTAAACTAGAGCTGTACTAGAACTAAACTAGAACTGAACTAGAACTGAACTAGAACTGAACTAGAACTGAACAAGAACTGAACAAGAACTGACTAGAACTGAACTAGAACTGAACTAGAACTGAACTAGAACTGAACTTGAACTGAACTAGAACTGAACTAGAACTGTACTAGAACTGAACTAGAACTGAAATAGAACTGAACTAGAACTGAACTAGAACCGAACTAGAACTGAACTAGAACTGAACTAGAACTGAACTTGAACTGAACTAGAACTGAACTAGAACTGAACTAGAACTGAACTAGAACTGAACTAGAACTGAACTAGAACTGAACTAGAACTGAACTAGAACTGAACTAGAACTGAACTAGAACTGAACAAGAACTGACTAGAACTGAACTAGAACTGAACTAGAACTGAACTAGAACTGAACTAGAACTGAACTTGAACTAAACTAGAACTGAACTAGAACTGAACTAGAACTGAACTAGAACTGTACTAGAACTGAACTAGAACTGAACTAGAACTGAACTAGAACTGAACTAGAACTGAACTAGAACTGAACTAGAACTGAACTAGAACTGAACTAGAACTGAACTAGAACTGAACAAGAACTGACTAGAACTGAACTAGAACTGAACTAGAACTGAACTAGAACTGAACTAGAACTGAACTTGAACTAAACTAGAACTGAACTAGAACTGAACTAGAACTGAACTAGAACTGTACTAGAACTGAACTAGAACTGAACTAGAACTGAACTAGAACTGAACTAGAACCGAACTAGAACTGAACTAGAACTGAACTAGAACTGAACTTGAACTGAACTAGAACTGAACTAGAACTGAACTAGAACTGAACTAGAACTGAACTAGAACTGAACTAGAACTGAACTAGAACTGAACTAGAACTGAACTAGAACTGAACAAGAACTGACTAGAACTGAACTAGAACTGAACTAGAAACTGAACTAGAACTGAACTAGAACTGAACTAGAACTGAACTTGAACTAAACTAGAACTGAACTAGAACTGAACTAGAACTGAACTAGAACTGAACTAGAACTGAACTAGAACTGAACTAGAACTGAACTAGAACTGAACTAGAACTGAACTAGAACTGAACTAGAACTGAACAAGAACTGACTAGAACTGAACTAGAACTGAACTAGAACTGAACTAGAACTGAACTAGAACTGAACTTGAACTAAACTAGAACTGAACTAGAACTGAACTAGAACTGTACTAGAACTGAACTAGAACTGAACTAGAACTGAACTAGAACTGAACTAGAACTGAACTAGAACTGAACTAGAACTGAACTAGAACTGAACTAGAACTGAACTAGAACTGAACAAGAACTGACTAGAACTGAACTAGAACTGAACTAGAACTGAACTAGAACTGAACTAGAACTGAACTTGAACTAAACTAGAACTGAACTAGAACTGAACTAGAACTGAACTAGAACTGTACTAGAACTGAACTAGAACTGAACTAGAACTGAACTAGAACTGAACTAGAACCGAACTAGAACTGAACTAGAACTGAACTAGAACTGAACTTGAACTGAACTAGAACTGAACTAGAACTGAACTAGAACTGAACTAGAACTGAACTAGAACTGAACTAGAACTGAACTGGGACTGAACCAAAACTGATCTAGAACTGAACTAGAACAGAACTAGAACTGGACTTAAAATGAAGTAGAGCATTACTAGAACTGAAGTAGAGTTCAACCAGAATTCAACTATAACTTTCGAATCTATAAAGTTAGAATCCCACTGAAGAGAGACTGGACAGGAAATTAAAGCTTAATAAAGTTAAAGTTTCTTAAAATAAACTTTTTAATTCTACCACTACCTGGTGAGTTCGTGTATGCTGATCCAAAATGGCCTTCTGACGGAAATCTTTACCACATTGGGCACATTTATAGGGCTTCTCTCCGGTATGTATGCGTATATGCTGAAATAGAAACAAATTAGTAGGATAATACTTAAAGGAACTCTGTCAACAACTCCCCGCCTCCCTACCTGATTCAAGATGGTTCTCTGGCGGAAGAAACGCGGACAGTAGAGACAACCGAACGGTTTTTCATTGGTATGTATTCGTAAGTGCTGCGTCAAATGTGACTGCTGACGGAAACGTTTACCACACTCGGGACAAGGATAAGGACGCGATTCGATATGTATGCAACCATGCTGTAGTAGAGTGGTCTTCTGTTTGAATTCCTTATCACAAATGGGACAACGTACATACAGTGGCATATTTGCCGGACGGATGCCAATGTGTGACAGAACATCGGGTAAGATTTTTTGACCTAAAAACAAAAGATGAAATTAAAAACAAATGTTATTCGAAGGTCCTTCAGCTGTGCTCAAAAGATAATAAAGGTCTTCATCAGCACCCACCTTTACCATCTTTAAAGTATGAAGGATAGTGTATACCACCATCTTGGCCACCTTGAGAATCTTCATCATGATAACCATCGCCGGCAATACCATTTTTGGTATCATTCTCCTCGCCCGGAAAGGGTACATCCTGCGGCCATAGCGTGGGATGTGGACCATTTTTAAAGATGAGATGTGGTGAGACATCTAAGAGTTTAAAAACAAATGAAACAAATGTTAATTTTTATTAAAAGTTGTTAAAGGGATTCAAAGAAAGTTTTTTTTTCAAAGTCTAAGCTAAACTACAGAGTTAAGAGTAGAAGTTTATCAAGAAACGGCAAAGTGCTTCAGCACTTTCCTTTTTAAGAGTTTTAAAAGTATTTGTTTTTAAATAATGAGAGCCATACAGTTAATATTTTTATAAAAAATTTTGAAAGTTTTTGCCAGATTTTTCTTTACAAAAAAAGATTTTCCAAACTAAAGGCCTTAAAGGTTTACGAGATACAAAATATTTTGTAAGAAAAATTTTGAAATAGAAGGCGAACGAGTTGTGTGAGTTTTTCTTTTTGGAGGCCTATAAAGCCTTTAGTTTTGGAAAATCAAGCCAATTCCTTGTTAACAAAGTGCTTTTTTTTCTATAATTCTTTAATAAATTAGCCAAATGAAAAAAACTAAAATTTTGTCTAAAATTTTCATAAATTTTTGCCAAAAATGTTGCCCTAAACTGTAACTCTCGGTTTGGGATTTTGTTTAATTTTGCAAAATTTCTGTTCTAATTTTTTTCTCAAGAATTTATTCAAGAACTGTCGCTCGCCTTGGTGGGTTCGCACATGTTGATTAAGGATGGCCTTCTGGCGAAAGTGCTTGCCGCACTCGGGACACGCAAAGGGCTTCTCACCCGAATGGATGCGAACATGTTGATTCAGTATCGCCCGCTGTCTAAAGCCTCGATTGCAGTAACCGCAAGTGAAGGGCTTCTCATTGGCGTGTATGCGTAAATGTTGCGTCAGATGCGATTGTTGGCGAAAGCGTTTGCCACATTCCGAACATGGATAGGGACGTGCGTCTGTGTGTATGCGATCGTGCTGCAGTAGGGTGCTTTTCTGCTTAAAATCTTTGCCGCAGGTCAGGCACTTGAATAGCCTAAGATCACTATGAGGTTTGGGGGGTTTATGACTGCCCGACGAATTGTTATTGCTGCTAGAGGTGGGATGACGTCCGCCGGTGCCATTGGAGGTTGTTGTATTGTGATTAGAGCCATTCTGCTGGTTATTGCTATTAGCAGACCCATTTTGTCCGGGTAATAGTTCGGGTAAGGTGTAACCCTCTAAGCCGTTGGAGGGACCATTGGCTGCACTTTGATCCATACTGCCGTTGAGTCCCGGCAGCACGGGTTTGTTGAGATAGTGTAGGGGTGGGAAACCGGGCGGTGCCATTAGGGCACCCTGACCCGGGTGGCGTGGCGCATAGTAACCCGAAAGTTCACCATTCGCTGTAGGAAAATTGCTGTGATCGTTAGTTTGGCCATTCTGTTGTACATGTGGATTATTCCCCGCGGGATTGTCCGCGGAACCGGCAGCACTGCCGTTCTGCTGCTGATGCTGTTGGGGATCATTTGAGCTTTGGTTTGGATTGGTTTGTTGGGTGGAGTTTTGATGGAGACCAGATGCCTGTGGGCGAGAAAAGGAAAAATTAAAGTAATGGACTAGATCTAAAAGTGAACTAGATCTAAAAGTGAACTAGATCTAAAACTGAACTAGATCTAGAACTAAACTAGATGCAGAGCTGAACCAGATCTAGTACTGAACTAGAACTATACTAGAACTGAACTAGATCTAGATCAGAACTTGATCTAGAACTTATCTAGAACTAATCTATAACTAAACTAGAAGTAAACTAGAACTAAACTAGAAATAAACTAGAACTAAACTAGAACTAAACTAGAACTAAACTAGAACTAAACTAGAACTAAACTAGAACTAAACTAGAACTAAACTAGAACTAAACTAGAACTGAACTAGAACTAAACTATAACTAAACTAGAACTAAACTAGAACTAAACTAGAACTAAACTAGAACTAAACTAGAACTAAACTAGAACTGAACTAAACTAGAACTAAACTAGAACTAAACTAGAACTAAACTAGAACTAAACTAGAACAAAACTAAAACTAAACTAGAACTAAACTAGAACTAAACTAGAACTGAACTAGAACTAACCTAGAGCTGTACCAGAACTAGAACTAAACTAAAACTAAACTAGAACTAAACTAGAACTAAACTAGAACTAAACTAGAGCTAAACTAGAACTGAACTAGAACTGAACTAGAACTGAACTAGAACTGAACTAGAACTGAACTAGAACTGAACTAGAACTGAACTAGAACTAGAACTGAACTAGAACTGAACTAGAACTGAACTGGAACTGAACTAGAACTGAACTAGAACTGAACTGGAACTGAACTAGAACTGAACTAGAACTGAACTAGAATTGAACTAGAACTGAACTAGAACTGAACTAGAACTGAACTAGAACTGAACTAGAACTGAACTAGAACTGAACTAGAACTGAACTAGAACTGAACTAGAACTGAACTAGAACTAAACTAGAACTGAAACTCTAGTTCAGTTCAGAACAAAAACTGATCGTGAACTGAACTAGATTTGATCTAGAACTGAACTAGAACTTAACTAAAATTGATTTAGACAGAACTAACCTTTCCCCTCACCTGATTCATATTCACATCATCCTCATTGCTGCCATTCGCTCTCTGCTGCTGCTGCTGTTGCTGTTGTGGCGGGTAGGGACTAGTCGAGGGCGAACCTTGCTGTCGTACACCACCCGCACTACCGGTACCCCCACCGCCACCACCTCCTCCTGCATCACCACCATTCTCTCGAACATTAGGATCTCCATTCGGCGACGTAGGCTGTGGTCCATTTGTCGCTGCCGACTGGCCATTAGCCGCTATTTGCGCTGCTGCATTCTGCTGTTGCTGTTGTGCGCTTAAATGTGTTTGAGCCTGTTGCTGTATGCCCGGATACATTTCACTGCCCCACTGGGTGGCCGAGCCACCTATGGCGGCAGCATTACGCTCCGCCTCCTGTGAGTCTTTATAGAGAACATAGGGCTGTCCCGTATCCTGGGTAATGCAGTACATTATTTGACGCGGCACTTTAAGGCCCGCAGCTATGCAGGCCGCAAAAGAAGCGGAAAAGTTTATAGCCATTTTGTTGTGATGGTTTTTGGTTTATGTCTAAGCTATATGTAATTTATGCTGAAGGTTTAAGTATTTACTATGACTCTGTAGATTTTCTCTTTTACTATTGAACACACACTCTCAGTGAGTTGTGGTGCTTAATGCTCTCAGCTTAGTTGTCATTTTAGGGTTTTAGTTTGTAACTTTTGTTGTTGTGTTTTCTTATCTCTTTTTCTTAAAAGGCTTTCGTTTTATAGTTAACTCTTTATTAGTTTATTTTTTTCGTTTTATTTGTGGGTTTTTTTAAGGGGATTTTAACTCTTTTTTTTCAGTTTTCTCTTTTTTATGCCGTTTTCTGTTTATAAAACTTTACTTTTTTTTATTAGTTCCTTTCTTCTTAGTGTTTATTATGTTGTGTTTTATTTATTTTATTATTATTTGTTATTATGTTATTTTAAAAAAATATTTTTTTTACTCCAAAATATTTAGTTTTTGTTTAAATTTTGTGTGTTTTTTTTCAAAATTTTCTTTTTGCCAAGTGATGAATAGAAAATACTTTTTTTTTGCTCAATTACTGTTAAATAGTGTTGTTGTTTTAGCCAACTGTAAATAAAAGAAAATGTAAAGATTTTTATTAACATTTTTTATTAATTTTTAAAATTTTATTTTTTTTAAAATTTTCGTTTCTTTTTTAAAGAAAACTTCTGCTGTATTAAAAGGGAATTTAAATTGTTTGTTTGATTTATGTCCAGAGTATTGAACCATTCATTCATTTCAAGTTCACAGCTAAAAAAAAAATGCTCAAAGATTTTAATATGCAAACTGCATTTTCTGAAAGACTGCAAAAAAAAACTTCATAAAACCTTGTGTGTGTAGAGAGATATGAATAAGTAACCGAGAAATTAACCCCTTAAATGTCTAAAGAGACATTCTTAAACTTGAAAATTGTTCCTTTTAAAGATCTACAATTTAAAATTGAGCTGTCTCAAGTTCTACAATTGAGAATTTAACTATTTTAAGTTCTACAAAGAGAAATAGGACTGTTTCAAGATCCGCTATTAAAAAATGGACGTTTTCAAGATCTACGATTGAAAATTTATCATTTTAAAGATGTACAATGAAAAATTAAACTTTTTGAAGATCAACGCTAAGAAATTAGAATGTTTATCGGACTGTGTAAAGAATATCGAACTGTGTAAAGATCTTTCTTTGAAAAAAATGGACTGTTTAAAGATCTACGATTGAACATAGAACATAGTTCGAAGATCAACGATAGAAAATTGGAGTAGATCGGTGGAGGAACATTGAACTCTTAAGAGATCATTTATCTACTATAGAAAATCGGTCTATGTAATGATCTTCCTTTGAAAAATTTAACTGTTTTAAGATCTAGGATTGAGAATTGAACAGTTCGAGGATCAACGATTAAAAGTTGGACTGTATTAGAGATCGGTGGATGAAAATTGGACTGTTTAATGATATACTATTGAACATAGTACTGTTTTATGATCTACGACTGAAGATCGGACTGTGTAATGATCTTTCTTTGCAAAATGGGACTTTTTGAAGATCAACGTTTGAAAATTGAACTATTCAGTAGATCAAAGGAGGAAAACTGGACAGTTTAAAGATTTCCTATTGAACATTGGACTGTTTTACGATCTACGACTGAAGATCGGACTGTGTAAGGATCTTTCTTTAAAAAATTGGACTTTTTAAAGATCTACAACTGAAGATTGGACTGTTTGAAGATCAACGTTAGAAAACTGAACTATTTGGTAGAACGGTGGAGGAAAACTCGATTGTTTAAAGATTTTTCTATTGAGTATTCGACTGTTTTACGTTATACGGCTGAAAATCGGACTGCGTAAAGATCTTTCTTTGAAAATTTTGACTTTTTAAAGATATACGATTTCAAATTGGACGGTTTGAAGATTAACGTTTAAAAATTGAGCAGCTTAATAGATCGGTGAAGGAAAGCTGGACAGTTTAAAGATTTTCTATTGAGCATTGGACTGTTTTACAAAGTACAACTGAAGTAATGATCTTTGTTTGACTGTGTAATGATCTCTGTTTAAAAAATTGGACTTTTTAAAGATCTATGATTGAAAATTGGACTGTTTGAAGATTAACTTTTGAAAATTGAACTGTTTAATAGATCGGTGTAAGAAACCAGGACAGTTTAAAGATTTTCTATTAAGCATTCGACTGTTTTACGATCTACAACTGAAGATCGGACAGTGTAATGAACTTTCTTTGAAAAATTGGACTTTTTAAAGATCTACGATTTGAAATTGGAAGTTTTAAAGATCAACGTTTTAAAATTTAACTGTTTAATAGATCGGTGAAGGAAAACTGGACAGTTTAAAGATTTTCTATTGAGCATTGGATTGTTTTACAATCTACAACTGAAGATCGGACTGTGTAATGATCTTTCTTTAAAAAAATGGACTTTTTAAAGATCTACGATTGCAAATTGGACTGTTTGAAGATAAACGATTAGAAATTGGACTGCTTCACCGAACTGTGCATACAAATTGGACTGTTTTACGATCGACGACTGATGATTGAATTGCTTAATGATCAGTCTTTGAAAAAATGGACTGTTTAAAGATCTACGATTAAAAATTAGGTTGTTTTAATATCTAAAATTAATAATTGGACTGTATAAAGATCTACGATTGAAATTTGGGCCATTTTAAGATCTACGATTGAAAGATGGAACTGTTGAAAGATCAACGATTAAAATTGGACGATTTAATAGATTTATGCTATGTTCAAGGATAAACGATTGAAAATAAGATTGTTTAATTATCTTCCCTTGATCAAATGGACTCTTTAAAGATCTACGATTGATAACGAATGCGTTCAAAGATCTGTGATTGATGTACGATCGCAAAATGGACTGTTGAAAGATATTTTCATGAACAAAAGAGCTGTTTAAAGATCTGCGATTGAAAATAGCACTGTTGAATGATCTTCGATGGGATATTGAAGTGTTAATAGATCTACGATGAAAAATTGAAGAAGATTTAAACTGTCTAAAGATCAATGGTTGAAATTTCGACTGTTTAAAGAACGTTGAATATGAATTGGTCTGTTTAACAGATCTATGGCTAAAAATTGAACTATGTAAAGATCTATGTTTGAAAATCGATCTGTTTCAAGATCTTTCTTTGAAGAAATGGACTGTTTAAGGATCTTCGATGTTAAATAGAACTGTTTAAAGATCTTCCTTTAAACAAATGTAATGTTTGAAGATCTGCGATTTGAAAATTTGACTGCCCAAAGATCAACGATTGTACAATGAACTGTTTCATCAATGGTGGAAAATTAGAGAGTTTAAAGATCTACAATGGGAAATGGTAACTGTTTAAAGCGTCAAGATTGAAAATTTGACTGTTTAACAGATATTTAGTGGAAAATTTAACTCTTTAAAGATCTGCAATTGAAAACTGAACTGTCACAAGATCGGGTGATGAAAATTTTGATAGTTTGACTGATCTAAGGTGGAAAATGTTCATGTTTATCAGCTATTTCTTAGCTGAAAGATCTACTATGGGAAATAGAACTATTTAAACAGATTTTTGTTAAAAAACTGAAGTGTTTAAAGATCGGCTATTGAAAACTGAACTGTCACAAGATCGAGGAATGAAAATTTGACGGTTTTTAAGAGAACTTTGATGGAAAATTTAAATATTTAAAGATCTACAATTGAAAATTGTACCGTTTATAGTTCCAGGATTCAAAATAGGGATTAAAATTACATTTGTCCCGTTTAAGGGTTAATAATAACATTTAATAACATAAAGGCAAAGGGTAACTCATCATCAAACAAAGAATTTATTTATACAAAAAAAATCCAGCAAAATTAAATGAAAAACACAATGAAATGAATATAAAATACTCTCCATAAAAATACAACAACAACAAAAAAAAAGATGTTGTAAATATATTGTTGTTGTTGTTGATATTATATGGGGGCAAGATCAAGCTATGAGTATTATTTTTTGTATTATTGCTAAAGTCTGAACACACAGAGATTTTATGAACAACGATCCAATAGCAACAAGAACAACAACAACAGAAAAGGCACACGAATCTATGTATGGACGGACTTAAGCAGCCAAGTATAAAAGTCATGATCATCTGTTAAACGAAGTATTCTGTGTTGTATTGTGTTCTGTTCTTTTTTTTAATGGACTTTTTATTTTAAGGAGTGCCTGCTGCTGGCAGCCTAAAGACTTATTACTAACCCCCCCCCCCCCCCCACCGTCTCTTGGTATATAACATCAATAAAAAGAATGTGAGAGGGGAACTCCTTTTGAAAATTTATTTAAGCCAACACTTTGACAATGTTTCATGCAATTTAAGAAATCGTTTTAAAATAATTTTTTTTTGTTGCTTTTTTATTTTTTTTTTGCCAATTTCGCTTTTTTTGCTGTTTAATGCGGGATCAAGGTCTTTTTTGGTTTTGTGCAAAAAAACAGATAAAGTTTTATATACTTTTGATCATTTATTTACTTAAACAGTATATATATATATTGTGGTTATAGTGAACAATTATTGCATTTTTTACTTTTGCCAATATTTAGGAATTGTATATGAAGTCATTATAAGATGATTTAGATTTGTTTTCTTCTAAAGAAATGTGGTTTTTAGCTGTTAATTAAAAGAAGAATTGTGGAGAAAATAACTATTTTGTACCCTAAATGGGAATGCGAAAGGTAGGATAAAGGTTAAATACAGTAAGGGGAACAAGTTTAAAGATTGCAGAAAGTAGAAATAGGAAGATAACGGAATTTGTTGAATAAGCTAACTAAGAAATAGGTCTGGCTAAAGATCTGCGATTAAGGATTATACTGTTTAAAGATGTAGGGTGAAAATTGGACTATTTAAAGATCTTCGATTGAAAGTTCACATGTTTAATGATCTACAATGGAAAATTGAACTGTTTCAAGATCTTCGACCGAAAGTCTACATGCTTAATCTAGAATGGAAAACTGGAATGTTTCAAGATCTACGATTGAAAGTTGAGGTGTTTAAAGATCTACAATAGAAAATTGGACTGTTTCAAGATCTACGTTAGAAAGTTGAGGTGTTACAAGATCTACAATAGAAAATTGGACTGTTTTAAAGATCAACGGGTGAATATTGGACTGCGTAAAGATCTTCGATCGAAAATTCAAATGTTTAATGAACTACAATAGAAAAATTGGACTGTTTAAATGATCTTCGATCGAAAGTTGAGCTGTTTAAAGATCTACGATGGAAAATTGGTTACTGTTTCAAGATCTACGTTGGAAAGTTGAGGTGTTACAAGATCCGCAATAGAAAATTGGACTGTTTTAAAGATCAACGGCTGAAAATTGGACTGTTTAAAGATCTTCGATCAAAAGGTTAAAAGTTTAAAGATCTACAA